TTTTAAAAAAATGATACAGGGTTTAAGAATGTACCTAAAATATGTCAAGGTGACTGGGGGCTTTGAAAAGTGGAAGCCACCCACAGAGAACTTTATACCTGGCTCCACTTTCAAGGAAATTAAAATTAAAACACCAAGTGTACTTGGGTATAAAAAAAAGTATATACTTTTGATTTGCTAAGGAATTGGAAGGTGGAGGTATCTCACTACCCCTTCCTCAATGCTATCCTTATAAAGGGCAAGTCTTGTTTTAAAATTTTAAGTCTGTGAATATTTTTTTCAACTGATATACCAACCTTTACAATTTAGTTCTCAATAGAGACACCTAAAGCAAGAAAATAAATGACTGGATGCAATGCTTATCTGGGGATCTGCTTGCAGAGTAAACATCCACACGACTCATTTGTTCTTCTTACATCAAAGTGTAATAAAGATATTTAGACTACCTAATACAGTCAGAGACTTGTCTTAGGCATATATGATTTATATTAAATGAGCATTCTATCCAAACATTTTATATCATGTTAGAACCAAAAACAAAAAAAAATCCAGAAATAAAAACATTGCCAGAATGATATATATTAAACTTATTAATTCCTCTTCACACAAAAATAAAAATGATAAGTGTATGTTTCTCGTATCATTTCTACAGGAGATCATAAAAGCCATTACAAGGTACTGGATGAATTCTTAGTGTTGTATAATAAGAATGGCTAATGCTTCAATGGGGTTAACAGAACTGTGAAAGGCTGTACAAGTAAATAATACTTTCATGTATTGGACATTTGGATTCTGGAAGGAATATAAAATTACAAAAATTATTTTAAATGATTTATCTATTCCTCATTTTTAAAAAAATATGTCTTTACTGATTTCAGAGAGAGGAAGAGAGAGAGGGAGAAAGAGAGAGATAGAAACATCAATGATGAGAGAGTCATTGATTGGCTGCCTCCTGCAGGCCCCAGACTGGGGAATGAGCCTGCAACTCAGGCATGTGCCCTGACTGGGAATCAAACCTCAATCTCCACGATCATAGGTCAATGTTCAATTGCTGAGCCATGCCAGCGGGGCCATTTCTCTTTTTTGTTGTTGTTGGGCATATTCTTGTAACAATATTAATTGAGCACCCACTATGTGCAAAGTGCCACTAAGTCCTAAAATAAACACAAAGAAGTTCTCAAGAAGCTTGCACTCTAGAGAGAAATATTAAAAAAAGATATTTCAGCTCTACTTTGGTAAAACTATTGAGGGCAAGTATATATGGGGGGGCAAAAGTAGGTTTACAGTTGTTCATATGGAAAATAGTACAATAATTAATAAGTAATAAGTAATAATACAAGAATAAACTGTGTTTTGCATACTCACAACTGTAAACCTGCTTTTGCCCCATTTTATATATATGTACATACATGTATATACACAAATATATAGTAATTACATATTGGCTGCTTTCCCCCACTAGACTGTAAACTCCGTGGAGACAGGGAAATTTTCTTGTTCATCTTCATCTAACACAATATTGACATTTCGAGCAAAATAATTTTTTGTGGGGGCTCTGTTTAGCAGAATCTGTGGCCTGTACTCATTATATGCACCCACCCTTAGTTATGGCAATCAAAAATGTTTTATCAGTTACTTCTATGAAGGACACTTCTCAAAAATAGAATCTATTATGATTTGGAGGAAAAAGTATTATTAAAAACTCTCAAAGGAAAATTGTTTATAGCTATTTTGAGCATAAATCCAGATATAAAATGTTATGTTTATAAAAGCAAGATTGAGAGCCTCATTAAAGCAAAATTGAGGGCCTCATTAAAGCATTTTACAAATTCAGATTTTAACATCTTTTCTATTTTATATTTCCTTCTAATTACATAATCTGAAGAAGATATTCTTAACCAAAGATGCACCCAATATACCATGTAAACATTATCTTTTACATTTGTACCATGGCATCAAAAATCTGGGAAGAACTATCCTACCAACAATTATTTCCCTTCCCTTTTTCCTTTCTAGCAGGACTCACTTTTCACCATAGAAGATGAAAATGACAAGCATATGTTTTTCCATAGGTTTTGCCAAGGGAGAAATGAGGTGGCCCAATCTTGGCCTATGGAGCCTGAAAAGATTCCTGGCGACTTGAGGAAAGATTTGCCTTTCTATGAAAAACTGATCAACCCAAGTCAATATCCATCTTTTTCATTAGATCTGATACCTTCATTCCTTGTGAACCAAGAACTACTGCAGCCACGTGTGAGCGTGAAACTAATATTGCCAAAGCATATAGGCAGCTTCTAGAAGCTGAAAACAACAACAAGGGAATGTATTTTCCCCTAGAATTTCCAGAAGGAATACAGTCTTGCAGAACCATTTTAGACTTCTGACCTCTAACACCGTAAAATAATAAGTCTGTGCTGCTTTAAGCCACTAATTTTATGGTAATTTGTTACAACAGGAATAGGAAACTAATACAGTGGTTAAGAACTTTGGTGTTGCTATCAGACTACTTGAGTTTAAATCCTTCATCTACTACTTACTACATATATAACCTTGGACAAATTACTTAAATTTTCACCTTGAAAAATAGGATGATCCATTTTGAATTTATTTTTATACACGAGGACAAACTGTAATGTAGTTTCTTTTCTTTTTCTTTCTTTTTTTTTTTTCCGTGTGGCTTTCCAATTTCCCCAGCACCATTTATTGGAGAGGCTTTCTTTCCTCAATAGTGTGTTTTTGGCTCCTTTATTAAAAATTATTTGTTCATATACATGTGGTTTTATTTCTGGGCTCTCAATTCTGTTCCATTGGTCTATGTGTCTGTTTTCTGCCAATACCATGCTGTTTTGATTACCATAGCTCTGTAGTATAATTTGAAGTCATGTAGGATAATACCTCTGGCTTCATTCTTTCTTCTCAAGATTGCTTTGGCTATTTGAGCCCAGAAATAACCCACATGTATATGAGCAAATAATTTTTTACTAAGGAGCCAAAAACACACAGTGGAGAAAAGAAATCCTCTTCAATAAATGGTGCTGGGAAAATTGGAAAGCCACATGTACAAGAATGAAACTAGATTGCAGTTTGTCACCATGTACAAAAGTTGATTCAAAATGGATCAAAGACATAAAGATAAGGTATAAAACAATAAATTCTGTAATAGAAAACATAGGTACTAAACATATAGACCTTGGTCCGTGGAGAACATTTTATGAATTTGGACCCAAAGGCAAGGGAACTAAAGGCAAAAATAAATGAATGGGATTATATCAAACGAAAAAGATTCTGCACAGCAAAAGAAACCACCAACAAAACAAAAAGGCAACCTACTGAATGGGAGATGGTATTTGAAAACAACAGCTCTGACAAGGGTAATATCCAAAATATATAAAGAGCTCATACAATTCAACTTCAAACAAACAATTCAACTAAAAAATAGGCAGAGACCTAAACAGGCACCTCTCCCATGAAGCCATACAAAAGGACAACAGATATATGGAAAGATGCTCAACTTCACTAGCTATCAGGGAAATGCAAATCAAAACTACAATGAGATACCACCTCACACTTGTTAGAATAGCTATTACCAACAAGACCAGTAACAACGAGTGTTGGAGAGGTTGTGGAGAAAAGGGAAACTTCATTTGCCGCTGGTGAATGTAGACTGGCACATCCACTATGGAAAATAGTCTGGTGGTTCTGAAAAAAAAAAAAAAAAAAAAGAATATAGTAATTATATGACCCAGCAATCCCTCTTCTGGGTATCTACCCGAGAAACCCAAAAACATATTCGCAAAGTGTTAGCACCCCCATAATCCTTGCAGCGTTATTCATGGTGGGCAAGATAAGGAGACAACCAAAGTGCCCTTTGACAGAGGACCGGACAAAGAAGATGTGGTACATATAAACAGTGCAATACTACTCAGCCACAATGAAATACTGAAATAATGAAATACTGCCATTTGTGACAACATTGATGGACCTTGAGAATATTGTGCTAAGCAAAATACGTCAGTCAGAAACAGCCAAGAACCATAGGATTTCACTCCTACGTGGGATATAAAGCTGAAACTCAGAGACACATACAACAGCGTGATGGTTATCATAGGGAACGGGGCTGAGGTGGGTGGAAAGGAGTAAAGGGAGCCAAATATTTGGTGACGGAAGATGATTTGAGTTTGGGTGGTGGACACACAAAGCAATATACATATCATGTATCCTAGACATGTACACTTGAAATCTATATGATCTTATTAGCCAGTCACCCCAGTAAATTTAATGGCGAAAAAAAGAACAGAAAAATGGGATGATGGTAAGAGAACCAAACCTGCTGGGTTGTTGTGGGTTTCAACATGGAAATCCTTAGGATAATCTGGAATGTAGGAATTTTTAAATAAACATAACCATTGTTCTGCTAAAATTTGTCATTTAATTTAGATATTTGTAATTTCTCTCCTATGAATCAAATATTTCTTTTTACATAGTCCTTGAGGAGGAGGGGTAGAGGAGCCTACACTTTAAGAGTTATGTATACAGCATCTCATTTGATCTTTACAAGCAACCATGAACTAGGTATAATTTTAAGTTTTCATACAAGAAAACTGAGGCTGTGGGGAGGTTAATTTTTTCCAAGTAACATAGCTAGAAAGTGGCAAAATCAAAGCAGCTTGTTCACTACTGCATTAACTACACTTCTTTCCTGGAAGATGATGCATAAATATGTGAAACAACCGCAGCAGTGGGCACTGAAACAATAATGCGGAGTTTAAAGTGACTGACACCAGGACACCCCATCTGATCCACACTGGCCCAATTCCCAGCTCTTTAACACCCATCCCTTGTTTCCAGAAAGGTCAGAGGAAGCGGGGAGAGCCCTCTGACCGCCTGGACCCGTGACGTCGCTCCCCGGGAGGCGGTGCGGCTGAGTCACAAAGGCGGGTGCTACGTAGGGACCACCCCGGGATAAAAGCGGGGGCGGCGTCTCCCCGGAGGCCAGTGCGCGGCCGCGGAGCTGGACCCGCCCATCGCTCCGCCCCCCGGGAGAGTCCGAGGCACCATGGAGGAGTATCACCGCCACTGCGATGAGGTACCGCCCCTCGGCCGCCTTCG